GTTCCAACTTATTGAATATCGAGTGACATGTCTGAAAATTGTAAGAATGGACCCAAAAATGCTTTGAAAATGCAGATACCAGTCCGGCGCAGATCAGAGTGAGCAGAACAGTTTGAATTCCACAAGTGAGCATACTTGAGCGGGAGGGATGAGAGCTTCAGCTTTTGCGGCCTATAAATATGTAAACTTCTCCGGTGTCGGGGTCACACGCCATCGGCTTCCGAAGCAGGGAGTGAGTAGCGTTTCCGTTTAGATCCAAATTGCTGATTCAAGCTCGGAGTGCCATATCGTTCGTCAATTTCCGAACCGTGCAGGAGTGGGCGACTGTGAACGTCACTCGACACGTCCGAGTGCGATCCACGCGATCGATAAGACCCGAATGAAGCCACGAAATCAAAGCAGATCCAGCGGAAAAAGTTAAGGATTGCGAAGCCTTCATTACGATTCTGACCGCGCCGATAGGAGAGGACGAGATGTCGTCAGAATGTAGTACTCGAGGATGATGAGCAGGCTATCGATATCCCAAGACTGCTCCTCCTTGATCAGCTGAGTCGGTTTATAGCCGCAACAGAGATCCGCATATATTGCTCTTGCTCTCAATGCGTGAGACCGCAGAGGATACGAAACTTGAGCGAATGCTAATCCAGGCTTTTAGAGTAATCGAATGGTCTGTCTGTTAATCGGATTTCAACGACGTGCCGTGTATTGTTGCAAGACGTGTTAGTACGGCAAGTGCGCCCGACAGGAACAAGGCAAAAACCACGAGGAATTGCGAAGCATATGCCGGCCAGGGCAGCTGCATCCCGCTGCCATCGTGTTGGCGATTTAGTCGCACTGCCGCATTCTCTAGGGGAGCCTTGGAAGTAAGTACTCGATCCGAATACAGCCACGAGGTGCGATTAGTGGAGGGATTGACTGTATGGTGCCGATGTAGAAGGATCCAGGGCGCGAGATAAGTACGGGTCAACTAGACGATCAGTCCAGCTGGCAGAAAAGCGTCGAGTGGACTTTGATTAATTGATCCCTCGCGGTGATCTCCGAACCGGTCCGGGACTCCGGGCCGGCACTTTTCCACCGTTCAAACCAAGGTTCAACCATGAAAGTATGGGCCACTTAAAATACTCTAACCTTAACGTCTGCTCGGCCTTTATTCAAATCTAAAAGCTCTTGGCAAATACGTAGGATTCAGCCATCTCAGGTAGTAACACGTTATTCAACAACGTCCATGGAAACTTGGGATATATGTACTTGTTGTAGGCTTAGAACTTGCCGGCTCCAGTTCGGGTGTCTCGCCAATTTTTGGCTCACTCATAATTTTCGATGGAAACCAGCCTGGGTACAACGTACGAATAGGCTCGGTAACGTCTGTTTACTTCAAGTTAAAAGAGACTGAGCTCTGAGGATACAGATAAATAGTCTCGAACACAGCCCCTCATGACATCCCAATTCGGGAACCCTGTCATGAGGGTCTGGGCTGTAACCAGCCAAATAACCGTACATGGAGCTCTCGATTTTGGCATTTTTTGCGGTCTCGTTCGACCAATTCTCAACCGTTTTTCACAAAACCTTGGAGTAGAATGTTGAGGTATATACCATTAGAACTCCTCTGAATATTTTCAAATTTATGTGTGGCCCCATTTCTATCTACTGAAGGCCGCAAAGTTCTGGGGTCCTGGTCGGTGGCTGTGAACGCCGGTCTCTTGAGTGGCGAAAAGGCCGGGGTCCTGGTTTGAGAGCTCCATGTACAGTTATTTGGCTGGTTACAGCCCAGACCCTCATGACAGGGTTCCCGAATTGGGATGTCATGAGGGGCTGTGTTCGAGACTAACAGATAAACAGACGCTGAAACGATTCTCATTCGTCCCTCGTGTGTGGCGAGGCGCTTGTAATACCTCAAGCTCCTCTTCGATACGTCAATACCTGATTCATCGGCCGCGTTCTGGATCCGCATAGAGGTCATCCCACCAACCTCTTAGGTATCGGCAACGAGCGAAGGTTCGCCGAGGGCTCGGTCGCACCTTATACAGTAAGATCATTTGAGAGTCGTGCTATCCTTATATTTGAGGCGCCTATAATGAACCAAACCCAACATGATTTTACAACTGTTGAGCAATGTCTGGTCAGGTACAAGGGTTGATTTCTGTTCGGGCCAATTTTAATGTTCACAAAGGGAAAACCAGTTTTGTAAACGGGCGTCCGTATTTACGACCCGGTCCGCCATCAGGCTGCGACGATGGCCCTCGGCTTCTTCCCTCGAGAAGCCCCAATAACCCGAGTCCAAAATGAAATGCACAAGTTCAGGCGGCAAATTTTGACCGGTAAGGCGCCGACAGATAAATGGCAACAAAAAGCGCAATGTTCTGAAATTTGTCATGCGCGCTTGGAAAGGTATGTCGGATGAAGTTAAAACTTGGTTTGTGAGCCCGTGGAATGTGATGCCGTGGTATGATTAATCTTCCGATTCAAAGTGCTCATCGTCGTCGTCCACCAAAAAGAAGCATAGCTGAGGGACCATCAGCAAGGGGCACGAATGGGGATGAGGAAAATGACCGACAATTTTGCGTTTCGCAACGGAGTCATTGGGGGCATTTTCAACAACAGAAAGCTTGCCTACTCTATGCTGTGGCCTCTTGAGTCGAGCAATGGAACACCGTTAACCAGTGTTCCCTACCTGGATCCAATTCGGAAAAGATAACATGCGACCAGTTCCAGCCTTTTCACTGGCGGTAAAGTTTGTTGTAGGAACACACCCCAGGTATAAATACCGTGGAAGGGCAGACGTATCGGTGTAGTCCCAGTCGCTGGGATAGTCAGAGGTGCTGTCCAAATTTGTCTCATCGTAGTAATCTTCGTAATCTTCATCTTCAGAGTCGCTGTCTGCTTCAGACCGAAAGGTGACGCGGAACGACTAGTGCTCGATTAGTAGAGATTCGGGAAATGAAGGTTAAATGATCCTAACCTCATGCCGGTAATGCTCAAAAGTCGGAAAATCCACGCCCGGGTCCCTCGGTTTCCGGAATTCTAGCCCTTGGTCGACGATGGCCGGGTCGGTGTCATAATAGTAAATGACCGAGGCTACAATTCTTTCGTGAGGCTACAAGGGTTTTGATAAATCAGCAAGTTGATGTCCAGAGAGTCGGCTCGCACCATCCCTTCCATATGCCATGTACCTTCATATGTTTGTCCGGCCTTGAGCTGATAGTTCGCGGCCTTCGCATGTGCGACAAATAAGAAGAGTATTGTCGGGAAGTTTTCCATTACCTTGACAATAACCTTGAGCTGCCGTCCTTGGAATGAGAACGCATCGATTGTATCATCGGATGCAAACTGAGCCCTATCAGTTGGGTCCACCTCCGTCACTTTGGGAATGGCGTGGTTTGCTTCCATCTGGGCTTGTTCACGATTCTTCTCTGCGGTTTGATCGCTGATCATCTTCTGCCACGCAGAACGTTTTATCTGATCCGATTCTATTCGCATGAGCCATCTTTCTTTCCATCTGACGACTAATATTTCGAAACATGAGTTTCTTTATTCTGTTGCGAGGGAAAGGCATACCGGAAGGGGGGTCATCGGGCTCGTATTCAAAACCCAAAGTTTGTTCTAGATGAGGGAGGGCTAGAAGGAACACCTTTTCAATCAGGCGATAAAGTCTAGGAAAATGTTCTCGCGGTCCGAGACCGTTAATATAGGATTGAATGCGAACATCCTTTCCATCTTCCGAGACTTCGAAAACTGACGGAATCCATGAATACCGAGAAGATAATGTGGTCGGGTTGAGCTCTGCCATGGTGACGTCCGTTGAAAATAAGGAAGGTAGGGTTGAGGATTTGGATACATCATCGAGGACACTTTCTCCGAGCACTAAAGGATCTGTTCGAAACATGTCAGACAGCATGCAATAGTGTCGAAGATAATGAACATTCATAATGAGGGATGAATGAGATCCTGAACCTAAGTGGAGGGATGTTTGAGTTGAAATAAATAGGCAGCTTGAACACTTACCTTTCCGTGACTGCCGGGATGAAAATCCTGAGGCTCTCGTTTTGCCAAAGCATCGAGCTGCTCCACGAGCTACGAAACATAAAATTGATGAGAGCTAGTAGTGTCCGACGGCGTACCTCGCGATGCAAGGAAGCGGGCACGAGGTCATCGGAGAAGAAGACCCCAACCTCTTCAGACAAGGTCGTCGGAGCACGCACCCCGTATAATGAGGAAGCAGCATATCTCAGAGACGAAAGGATATCGGAATGAAAAGACTCTATATTCGAGTCAACGTCCCCGGACTCAACGTGTTCGTTCAACTGGATTTTGAAGTCGCAAAATATGATCTTTTGAGCTTCCCTCTCGAGTTCCCTGGCACAACATTGGTATCAGAAAATGTGAGAGGGCGGATACATGTAAGATCTCACTCGAGCGCGCCCGCGACTTGCGCACTCATGGGTGCGTTTGGCTCTGCGAGGCCAGCCTCAATGGCCCACTTGACGCCCAAGTTACGCGTTTGATCCAGTATCTTATAGTACCATTGAACCCTCTTTCGCCCGGATTGCATCGGAAAAGGTAGAGATAGGAGGGTCATCGGATTGAGCTCGATGGTTGCTCATAGAGTTGGGAACAGAGCTTGGAGGGAGGCAGTGTGTGCAGTCACAGCGCCCACGGCACGCCGCCGGGGCGCGCTCACGGCACGCTCGTCACCGTGATGGGGTACCGAATCCAGCGGAGAAGTGACCGAACTTCTAGGACGCCATGGCCAGCATCACTGGGAGGCTGGCAGAGAGGACCAGGATACAAGTGTTACCACCTTGTTTCGTCAACGTTTCGTCCTAAAATCTGTCTTTCCATTGTTTTATATCGCCGCTGTTCAAAGTAACAGGTTCGATAGGGGCGAAAATAGTTGTAGCTGGAGTAGCGGGGAATGGGAAAGTATTCGGTGTTCGGCATAGAACTTGGAAGGCTGGGTGGCAACCAGGGTAATAAGCTCTTGAATGTCGATCATCGTCAACGGCCGTGTGGCAAAATGGTTACTGCGTTGCTTTCCGACTTGCGTTAGGCAGAGACTGTGGGTTCGAGTCCCACCATGGTCGCTTTTTGTTCGCCCATGTAAAAGTATCTGAAGCATCCTCACATGCCGAGCAACAGAGCAAGTGTTGAATATTCGTCTGAGCAGTGGAAAGCAACGTCTCAGCTTTCGGTCATTTTTCGTCGGGTATGTCGAAGACTTATGACCCTTGAAAGGTACAGCGTCTTCGACGGGAGCTGCGTTCCAGAAGAAAGTAAGAATCTATGCGAGGAGAGTTGAGGCTCCGAATAGTAGACTCCTGATACTCCAGTGTCCGTAGTCGAAGGCAAGCAGGGCTATCGCGGCGCCTACTAAGCCATGTGTCGAGGAGCGCATACATTATGTCGAATGAAGCGAAATGAAGTAGCCGCAAAGTAGCCGAGAAAAATCTGATAATCTTCGCGATATCTTCGCGATATAGTACATAAGGATGAAAAGCGGATCTACAGGGACCCCAAAGCACATTGCCGGGCCATCTCGAACTGCAGGAACAACGTAAGCGCTTGCCCACCCAGACCAGCCATACCACGCACGCACCTCTTCATTCGTCCGACAAACTAACAGCCGAGGCCCCGCAGCCCCCGGCTCTCCAACATCGACGACACTGCCCTCCGTCGCATCCACAGCATCATTCCGCCCGCCGTCAAGCGGCGGGTACCCCAAGCACCCTACGCGGCCCGCGATAAACGCGCGCAGCTCCTTACTCCGCTCGCCGATCCCGCCCGAGAACACCAGCGCGTCGACCTTCCCTTCGAGCTTGAGGTGGTACGCCCCCACGAAGTCGAGCACTCGATCCGCGAAGAGGTCGAACGCAAGGCGCGCGGCGGGGTCGTCCGCCCTGCGCGCGGTGATCGCGCCGAAATCTGTCGTGCCCGCGAGGGCCTTCCACCCCGCCTGCGTGTTGAGGATGTGCTCCGCCTGGGTGACGTGCAGGTTGACGGCGCTGCCCTTGTCGTGCGAGATGCGGCCGGCTTTGTTGGTGTAGTGGAAGATGAGAGAGGGGTCGATTGTGCCGGAGCGCGTGGCGCCGGGGAGGCCGTTGAGCGGGGTGAGGCCCATGGAGGTGTCGAGGGATTGGCCGTGCTGGATGCAGCAGGCGGAGGCGCCGGAGCCGAGGTGGAGGATTATGAGGTTGAGGGAGGCGGCGGGCTGCGGTGGGGATGAGCGCGGTAGACGAGGAGATGTCGAGTAGATGTCACCTTCTCGAGGAATCCAGAGACCGAGCGCAGGATGAAGGAGTCTGGGTTGATTTTCTCTCAGTCGAGTATACATGCTAGAAGGGCAGAACCGTACAGCTGAGGCCATGGAACCCATACTTCTTCAGCCCCCGCTTCTTCGCAATCTTCTGGTCAATCGCGTAGCTGGATATGTGCGGCGGAATCGACCGGTGGAACGCTGTGTCGAAAAATCCGATGGATTTGGCGTTTGGCAGTTGAGTGAGGCATGTCTTGATCACAGCGAGAGACGCGCCGTTGTGCCTAAGCCGAAGGTGAGTTATAGCACGGAGTAGAACTAAGAGTGGCTTACAGGGGTGCGAGGTCCGAGAGTCGCTCGATGTGCGTATAGGCCTCCTCGTTGATGAGGACGGGGTCAGAGTAATCCCCACCGTGGACAACGCGATGGCAGACATGGGCAATGTCGGCGCGGTTGATGTCTGCTTCCTCGTCGAGGCATTCGAGAAAATGGGCGAACGCCGAAGCGTGGTCGTGGACCGATGATGCCTCTTCGTTCTTCGTGGTACCATCGAGAACCTTGAACGAGAATTTCGCGGGTGGGGCGGAGATGTTTGAAATGGAGGACGTGAGTATCAGGCGGACTGGCTCTTTGTCTGCTGGGGCGGTGCGAAAGAGGGCTATCTTGAGAGATGAAGAGCCCGCATTCACAGAGAGAACTAGGGACTTTGAGGAAGACATTAGGAGCACTGGTACACTAGCAAGCTGACTTCATCGATTAACGCGTCCGGAGAATCATAGCCTTGGATAAATGACGCAGGTCTGGAGTCGGTATCGAACGAGCCGAGGCTACTCCTATTCTGGACATGGACTCCCACGCTGTCCGTGGTTTATTTCTGGGATAATTCTGATATCTAGCAGGTTGTTGGTTCAAAGCTCTATTCAATGCAAAGCGACTCGCATGAATTTGGCAGCAACTACAAATTGGGGCCGCGGTTTGTAGTTACTGCCAAAATTGTAGGTTGGTTCGATCTGTGAGCAATGCAATCCCTCCTCGCATGAAATTTTGCGCAACTACAAACCGCGGCCCCAGTCTGTAGTTGCTCTCCCAAGCCAACTTTATCGAGTACAGTAACGCGTTCGGAGCCTTTGGATAATACTCTGGTCTGGAGTCGGTATCGAACGTGCCGAGGCCACTCCTATTCTGGACATAGACTCCCACGCGTCCAAATCAGGCCGTGGTTTCGCCGGTTTACATGTCTGTCTTGCGTTAAAAAAAGCTTTCGTGGAGAGGATATCGTAACTTGGGGCTTCTTACGTTTCTTCACATTTATAGACGACCTGCACATTCAAAAGACCCAGTTTAATGGGCAGCTTGGCAAGTTCGCAGTGGCTGGAAATGGGATCATTGGGGTCTAGACTCGAGGCCATTTTCCAACCACACCGAAATGCCCTGGAATCGCATGGTATCTTGACATGGAACGGCCTAGAGCCTATTTCTGCGCCGATCGACCATGACGCGCTTTCTGCATCCGTAGAATTATAAAAGCGAGATCGGATTGTGGCTGGTTATCAACAACTCCTTGCCTCCTACAATCATGCCTGGTCAGATTCTCCTTCAAGCCAATCCCCCGGCGGACCCGTCGCTCTTGCCCGAGTCCCTGCTCGACTTTAATGTCAAGCTGGATATCAAGAACTACCTTTCCGATGAAGAGCTTAAATCTCTCAAGATGTTTCGCAGGGCCGCGGATTACATTGCAGCAGGTATGCCTTCACAAGTCTTTTTCTTCGTCGCGATCCGCATGTTGACCAAACTGCAGCAATGATATTCCTCAACCACAACGTACTTGTCGAACGCGACATTACCCACGATGATATCAAGTCTCGTCTACTCGGACACTGGGGAACATGCCCAGGTACGGCCAGTTGTTAACCATGCGAGTGTAAAATAACCTCTCCCCCCAGGTCTCGTTATGGTCTATGCTCATCTCAACAGGCTCATCCGTAAAACCGGTCTCGATGCCTTGTATGTCGTAGGACCAGGTCAGTGACTCTTTCGCGTTTGACTCACCCCCCGACTGAACCCTGGAAAGGCCACGGTGCTCCTGCTATTCTGTCTTGCCTCTGGCTCGAAGACTCTCTCGGCACCTTCTACCCCGAGAACACTCGCGATTACAAGGGTCTCCACAAGCTTATCGCGAGTTTCAGCGTCCCAGGAGGCTTCCCCAGGTCAGTCTCAATTCAACTTTCAAAGTGGCCATCCGCTGAACTTTATGCCAGTCACATCAATGCTGGGACACCCGGTGCGATCCACGAGGGCGGAGAGCTCGGCTACGCACTCTCGGTCAGTTTCGGCGCTGTCATGGACAACCCGGACCTCGTCGTCGCATGCGTGGTCGGAGACGGTGAAGCTGAGACCGGGCCGACGGCAACAGCGTGGCACGGTTTCAAATACATAGATCCCAAAGAATCGGGTGCTGTCCTGCCCATCGTCCATGTCAACGGGTTCAAGATCTCGGAGCGTACCATCTACGGTACCATGGACGACAAGGAGCTCACTGCGCTCTTCACGTACGAAAACTCATCTTCTGCGTATATCTTTCGCTGACCTTGTTTTTAGCGGCTACGGATACCAAGTGCGTTTCGTCGAGGACGTCGCGAACATCGACAACGATCTCGCTGCGTCAATGGACTGGGCTCTTGTCGAGATCAAGAAGATCCAAACCGCGGCCCGGAGCGGCAACCCCATCGTCAAGCCCCGCTGGCCCGTCCTGATCCTCCGCACGCCCAAGGGCCTCGGCGGGCCCAAGGAGTTCCACGGCGAGCTCATCGAGGGGTCGTTCCACTCCCACCAGGTCCCCCTCCCGGGCGCCAAGACCTCCCCCGAGGAGCTCACCGCGCTGCAGTCGTGGCTCAAGTCCTACCGCCCCGAGGAGCTGTTCACTGCCGACGGCGTGCCCGTGCCGGAGATCCTCAGCATCATCCCCGAGGACGCGGAGAAGCGGCTCGGGCAGAAGAAGGAGAGCTTCCGCACGTACGAGCCGCTGAACGTCCCCGAGTGGACGGACTTTTGCGCCAAGCAGGGCACGCAGGAGAGCTGCATGAAGGCGGTCGGGCGCCTCCTCAAGGGCGTCGTTAAAGAGTGCGCTCCTCGTTCTTGCTCATCGTATCCAGCGCGCATGCTGATTCTTTATGCAGGAACCCCCACAAGTTCCGGATCTTCTCGCCGGACGAGCTCGTTTCCAACAAGCTCGATGCGGTGCTCGATGAGAGCTCCCGCAATTTCCAGTGGGACATCGAGTCCCGCGCACAGGGGGGGCGTGTTGTCGAGATCCTGTCGGAGCACACCTGCCAGGGTATGCTGCAGGGCTACACCATCACCGGCAGAACGGGTAGGTCTTTCTGCCCCCAATCCGGATATCATACCAACGCTGTTGTCTAGGTTTGTTCCCCAGCTACGAAGCGTTCCTTGGTTTGTTCCCATTCCTTTGGTATTGCGATATACTCCCTGATCGGCATACGTTTAGGCATCATACAGACGATGATGGTGCAGTACAGCAAGTTCACGAAGATGGTATGCGATCGCATTGTTTTCTGTGACTGCGATCTGAATTGTTTTCGCTTAGTCGGCGGAGATTCCGTGGCGCCAGCCTAACGGTTCTCTCAACTACCTGGAGACGTCGACCTGGGCACGTCAAGAACACAACGGATTCTCGCACCAGAACCCGGCCTTTATCGGCGCAGTCCTCAATCTCAAAGCCACCCTCGCTCGTGTTTACCTCCCTCCCGACGCCAACTGCTTCCTGTCGACAATGTCGCACTGCCTGCGGGCAAAGAACTACGTCAATCTCAT